TTAATAAACGGATCTCAGTTAGAGGAAAATTTCTAGCTTTAATTTCTAAAGTCTTATATTTTCTAGTAATTACTGAGGAAATCAATTTAAAAGATCTACCTGAAGCTTAGTCTTCTCAGATTGGTTTAAACTTTTATAGTCCTTTTTTTAGAGTCCTTTTTTAAGTCCTTAATTACCATATGCGGTGAATGCAATAATTACAATTAATGAGTCTATAAATATAATGGCAAGTAGCTGTTATTTTGAAAATGTTACCTATAACATTTATTATATGTATAATTTTTATGATTTTGTGGGGTTACTGGGGATCAAACTCAGGACCTTGCGCTTGGTGAGGCAGGCGTGGTGCCACTGAGCTAAAACCCCAGGCCAACTTTAATGATTTTTAAGTAACTGTAGACCAAAAACTTTACAACAGAAAACTTCCATTGTAATAACCTTCATGCACACAAGAAAAAATTCTGTAAAAACTTTAAATGTAGTATTTTTGACAAACAACAAATTACTTAGAAAGACTGCTTCTCACTTATACAATCCTTAGAGTTAGATACAGCTTTTTAGTCCACTTAAAACATCTCATCTATCATAATACATGGATTATCCATTTAAGATTAAAATGGAAGCCAGTTGGACTGAGAATGCAGTTTGCCTTGGCTAGTTAAGTTTTTATATTATATTTTTAGTAAATAAATTTAGGTTAGGTTAATGTTTTCTGACTTTTTCCATAATTACATTGTACAGTTACACTGCCAAAGTAGTCAATGGTCACATCTGTTAGAGGGGCTGCTTATAAAAACCCTGGTAACTTTATTGTATTTCTTTTCCTAGCAAAAAAATCATTGTATTTTTCCAACTACTCACCCTCCTAAGAAAGCTTGGTATACATTTATATGCAACAATAATTCAAAATACCTTAGTAGAATTGTAGTTAATTCTTTAACTCTTCTGCTTAAAATCAGATTAAATTAGGGAAGATTATACCCGAGATAAATCCAGGGCCTAATTGCTTCAACATGTTTTCCTTGTAAATTAATTTCCCTTGCCAAAATAAAATACTTTGTTTAAAACAGAGGTCATAATATAACTGTTATGGGTTAGTCCTAAGTTTACATACACGTGTGCACAAACCCAGAGGCTAATGACTTATCCGTGTGTGTGTGTGTGTGTGTGTGTGTGTGTGTATTTCAAGCTTCCTTTTAAAACAGCTGAGGGTCTGACAATCTGAGTCTAGTAGTAGGAAACAGCCATTATCAGCTAGAATGGAATGGCAGCAGTTTCAATATGCTAATATGCCCAGGCTCTGAAAATGTGACTCCTGATTTAAATGCCATTTTATGTTCAATCCAAAAATATATACCCCTCATTCCTGAGCTGAAGATTATTCTATCTTCTGATTTGTCTTTTTTGATTGACTGATTTATTCTTCCATTTGAAAAAAGCAAAGTACATTTTAAAGGTCTGTCTAAAAAATACTTTAAACTTTTAAAAGAACTATTATCACATGGAAAATCTTTAAACCATAGCAAAAGGATATTTTTAGTGTAGAAATATTTCCAATTTGGATAAACACACAAAATCAAAGTGGACAGAAAAACTCTTAATTGAAATTGATGAGTATAATGAACTAGTCTAGCTCTGTCCCAAAATAATTATTCTGAGTTTCTTCTCTAATTCTATTGGCATTCTCCTGTGGGCAAAGATCTGTGACAAGAACTTGGGTTTTCATTTATGTTGCCAACCCTTGGTGATTATAAAACTAGCAGGCTAAACTTTTCCAACTTGGATGCTTCTAATGGTGTTCACTGCTTCTGTTGGAAAAACAGACTTTCTTCTGCTCATGGAAAGATCTGTTTTCCCCTCTATGGATTTATAATAGCATATGAACAATAGAGTTATACTGCAATGAGCTACATGGTAAATACTTGAAAGAGTTTAATCTTAAAGGATATGTGAATAAATTTCTAAGAAATAAGTTCCCATCGAACCTCGGTAACCTCAAATGTGGTAATTTATTTGGTACTCTTTTAATAATCCCTCCTTGTAATTGGGATTCCAATGAACATGACCTCCCTACAACTCCTACTTTGATTAATGTAACTAGTGATATATTCAAGTTTCAACATCACAAAGTGTCTCCACTAGAGGCCTCTCACTGAAGAGCCAGGATTTAGTAAGTCTCTATATATTTTAGGATAGTAATAGCAAGGATTTAAGAAACTAGGTACTACAAACAAATGAGGTTTTGTATGATCTGTAGCTCTTCAACTGTTATCATTATGGGTTGAATTGTGTTCTCTCAAAAAAGATTTGCTTAAGTACTAACTCCCAATGATTTAGAAAGAGATCTTATTTGGAAACAGGGTCTTTAAATAGGTAATCAAATTAAAATGAGGTGATCGGGGCTGGGGATTTAGCTCAGTGGTGCTGCCAACTGCCTCACATGTGCAAGGTCCTGAGTTTGATTCCCAGTACCAAAAAAAGCAAACAAACTACAATGAGGTAATCAGGCTACAATAAAGGGAAATAAGAAAAAGATACATACAGAAAATAATATGGAAAAACACTGAGGGAATGGCATATGAAGACAAAGGTTTTCAGTGGGGCAACTACAAGGTAAGAATACCGAAGACTGTCAGGAGTTAGGAGAGAGGCCTGGAACAGATCCTTCCCTGGTGTCCTTAGAGGGAGCACAGCCTTGCTAGCACCCTAATTTTGGACTTATGGCCCGTAGAACTGAGACAAATTTATAAGCTTAAGACACCCAATCTGTAGTACTTTTTCAAGGCAGCCCTGGAAAAACTAACACCTTTCCAAAACTATACATTTTTTTCTTTGTATGTAGGAGCATCTTCGTGATTACCAATATTTTGTCTTAAATGTTTTTAGATGGATTTATAGGATGCACTGCTATCCTTCATTAGGCACGACGGCTTTATCATATGTTAAACAAGGATGTCATTGTGAACAGGAAGTCTGAAGATACCTAATTATACCTTGTTAGGGCCACAGATTAGAAAAACCAAACAGAAGGTATAACATATTTCAATCAGTCATTCATTGAGTATTTGTATGGTAGAGGATATCTGGGTACTTTGTGAGTATATAAAAATGTGATACTTGGGCTGGGGATGTAGCTCAGTGGTGTCACTACCTGCCTTGCAAGCAAAAGGTCCCGAGTTCGATCTCTGGTACAAAAAAAGAAAAGAAAATAACATCTGATGGCCAAAAAGTGATTAGATGCTTTGATGAAGAAAGCCACCATGTAGAGAAGCTCTGCCCCACAGTACAACCAGTATTAGTTTTTATTGTAACGAACTGCCATACATTTGGTGGATTAAAACTACATGCATTTATTATTTCACAGTTTTCATAGGTCAGGAAGTCTGGGCACTGCTCAAGTGGGTCTTCGGCTCAGAATCACACAAGGATGCAATCAAGGTGTCAAAGCCAGAAATATGGTCTTGAGGATTGTGTTCCACTTCTAGGCTCCACTGGTTTTTGGCAGAATTCACTTCCTCACAGTTGCCACACTGAGGCCTTCAGATACTAGAGGCTCTCCTACCACTTGATGGTACAGGGCACTATCCACAAATATGACAGTGGCCTTCTTCCAAGCCAACAGGAGGGCATTTTTGCTGTTTTGAATCGTTCAGACCTCTTTTATGTTGGCTCTCCTAAAACATCTTTGAAGGGGCTCACCTGTGTCAGAGCCTTCTAGGATTTGCTCCTCTTTAACGTTTAACTTAAACTGACTAGGAAATCTAATTACATCTGCAAAATCTCCTACCTTTTCCATATAATGTAATCGAAGCAAGGGAATAACATCCCATCGTATTCACTGGTCCCACCCATACTCAGTGAGAAGTAAGTATTCACTGATTATGCCCTGATTATTCAGGGAATGGGGCATCAACAGGGGGAACCTGGAGGCCATCTTAGAGTTCTGCCTAATACAAATGGCATGTCTTAGTACCATCTACAAGCTTTACTTCCACCCGGCTCCTATAGTTTACATTTTGGTAAAGTATTTTTACAACATTCTACTGGCACTATAAATTGCCATAGTGTAATAGCAAAATTTATAAAATTGGCCTTGCTTTTAATAAAATTAGAATTCTAGTAAATGTAATATTTTCACACAGAAAACTATTTTGTAAGATTTCAAAATCACATTTACTCTAGACTAGCATTTATAACCCTTGTGCATGAAACACAAAGATGGAATTTTGTTTTCTTTGTTTAAATGGGGCAAGAATCACTATAATTGAAGAATACAATATTTTATTAACAAGCCAGAATAAAGAAATGAAGGTGGAGCGCTCCATTAAACAAGCAACAGCTGTGATCAAGCAAAGTAACGCTTCTACCACAGCAGAGTAAACATGACAGCTTTATCCTTCCTATCCTTGCACAGTGCCCCATGGGATTGAAGCAAACTTGGTTACCACTGTTAATGTTAGAGACAGCTGAATTGAGCAAGCCTAGCTATGTTTGGGTCTCTCATTATGGCAATCTGTGGCAGGGTCAACAATACCAATTACACCACATAATCTGTAATGTTTTCAGGCCCAATCACTTCTTTAAACAAGAGTGGAAAGCACTTTCAACACTCAGTTTCTCCACAGATACACTGTTTATACAGTTGCATCTGTATTATTTTTTATGCAGATGAAATGCATTCTGTGTCCTTTGACATTTAAAATTAACTTTTTGCCCCCATTTGATCAATGGATTATTTCAAGTATTTTCAAATTTTATTCATAGTCATTCATTTTAACAGCAGAACCAACCAGATGTGGTTTGTTACAATTTTGGCTCAGTTGTAATTGAAAATACATTAAAAATTGTATCAGTGTCAAGAGATTTCAAACATTTCTTATAAATAAGTAAAACTGTTTAGCAAAACTATGAAACATCTTATTTCAATTTTCACATATAAAAATATATTGTTTTGTTTTATGCAACACTGAACAGTTAAGACCACAACACTTCAAGGAGAGTTTGAGATACACATATTTTAAAACTGTTTGTCAAAAATATTAGCATAAATAAATATCAAAACTGGTCATACTGTTCAAACCAAAAAATATTAACTTGTATCTTTAAGTCTGTTATCAGAAGTATTTCTTCAGAAGTCAAAACATTTTTCAAGTATAAGTTATGAATGTGCTCAGTAAGTCATGAAAACATGTATTTATAGTATTATGCAGGATTTTGACTTTCTCTCCATATTGGGTGGTGAAGTATCATGAAAGTTTTTCCCTGTGTTGTTAGGGGTGGCATCTTTCTTATTGCTTTTTAAAGCAATAAGATCTCCTACTGGTTTTATCTCTGAAAGTGGCTCCATACTATCCTGTGTAATTTTCTGACCAGTCAGTGACATCCGTTTCAAGAGGAAATTCTAGAAAAAAACAAACATAAACAGAGATTTCAGTAAGTGAAATATTCCCTTAGTATTTAGTGGTATCATTTTTAACAAGTATAAACATAATTTCATCACATCTTTATGGGATACCACAACTACAATGACACGTTCTTAGCATCCGTCAGTCTTTTTCCTTTCACCAAAAGTCGTAATTCCTCTCCAAAGAAAGACCTTCTTAGGATCTAACTTTCAACATCATCAACATCTTGGTAATATATTAGCATTTTCCTTCAAAGACCAAATTTAGTATCCTCCTTTGTTCCATTATAAAAGGAAAAAAGATAAAAACTAAGATATTAATTATGATAGCATTTAAATATAACCAAGATGGCTCATTTTAGGGCATGTCTGCTATCCCAGTTTATCTCAGCCATACAGACTTTCTATTGTAATATTCTGGAGAAGGAGGGCATACCTCCCTATTCCTGTAGATCAGAATTTCTGGCAAAATGTTAGTGTTTCCAAATGATGGTTGTGTGAACCATCTGAGTAAGCAGTAGGATATATGCAGCTGCTGCTCATGGGAGGGCAGAGCTGCAGATTTGAAGAATACAAGAACTGAAGAAATGAAAGTAACTCAAGGATTCCTGGCAGGCAGAAAAGAGAATATAAGAAAAGAGACTGAGGAATGGCAAAGTATAAGAAGCAGGCCGATGCAGGGGAGCCAGCATTGAGGATAGGGGTCTGCAGAAGCAAAACTGGGAAAATGTGGCAGCTCAGAAGTCAGGGGAAGAGAATATAGCAAGCTTACCTTTAGCCTTAAAAATGGAGGAACTAGAGGGAAAAGTTGTAACCCCAAAAGTCAAGTGTTTAGAAAAAGGGTCTATGGATTAACATGGAGGCATTCCTGTGCCTGCTATGTTGGAAGAATACACATCTTGAAAACATTCTGCCACTACAAAATACCAAGAAATGCTCAATAAGTATACGAATAGAATTTTATAATGTATAAGTAATCACACACACACACACACACACACACACACACACACACCTAAAGGAAATCCTGGTAGGCCAAAAAATGTGGAAGAAGCAATAATCTTCAGAGGTATGTATTGAAATGGCATCTAATTGCCTCCTAACTTAGACTCTTGGGTTTTAACAAATTCAATCTCACAAAATGTGGGAAATTGGGATGGAAACCCCTCTGTAATATGGGGCTTCTCTAAGAATTATGTCCTTAATGTAAGTGCACAGGTGAATTTTGGGAGATAACAAAATACATACCTCTCTTGTCTGGCATTTGAGTGAGAAGAAAAATGTTTTGCTGAGGTTAGGTTGAAGTTCGTAATGCCAATGTGGATAGACAATCCTTAAGGGAATATTAACCTGAAGTAGTTCTTTAGCCATTTCAGAGCTAACAGAGAGGCAAATAAACATTCTCTATGGATGACTCACTCGAACCTAGGACTTATAGGATTTCCACCAAATGGTCCTGGTTGAACATAATCCGAATTTCAAAACACACATGGAAATACGTCACCATCAGCAAGTAAGCCAGAGCAACATACAGTTTTCAACTCCTAAGGATGGCTGACATTGGACTTAAATACTGAATAGAAAATAAATATGCTTAAATTATTTAAAGCTATTTAAAGCACAAAACAAGATGCTAAGTTTGTAAAAGACTGATTTTAAAAAGAACCAAAATAGAATATCACTTAAAAGTTTAAAAATATAATCATTAAAATTCAATAGATAGGTTAAATAAAAATCTCAGCAAAAGAGAAACTAATAAAATCAATAAAACTCCTGACATGACCCACAGTATTACTAAGTATAAAAATATGAAGTTAATGCTAAAAGATGTGGACAACAAAATGAAAAGTTTATATCAGAATTCAAAAGGAAAGAAAGGCAATATTACAATATATAATTGACACTATTTTTAAAAGCTATGAATGATGACAATTCTCAGATTCATAATCAGAGTCATAATTAATTTCCAGGAAGTTATAATACAGCAATTCCTACCTAAGCATCTTATAGTGAACTAAAACATATCAAAGACAAACAAGCAATCTAAAAAGGCAGCCAAAGAGAAATGACAGGTTATACACAAACTTATAAGCAATAATAACAAAGCAGTATTAATAGCAATCATGGGAGCAGATGCTAAGAAAACAACTGCCAACTAGTCATGTTATCAAATGAATAGAAACTCAAAGTTTGAACTACTAACAGACATTATGACAAGAACTTCCAAAGGATTTCTTTAGGAAGAATAAGGATCTCAGAAAGATGTCTGAGACATAAAAAGGAATGATGGGTAAAGCAAATGGCATAAAACACAAATAACATGATTTGTGAAGTTAAAAAAAAAATTAAAACACTAGGTGCAGTAACTAGTAAAATGAGAAGGAAGGGACATTAGGAGAGAAAACTAAGATCCTGTTATAAGATCCTGGGAAAAAGAACATTAGTTAATTTTAAATTTAAGATATGCAGGTACAAATTTCAAAGACAATGTCTAGCTGTATAGGCCATTCATAAGGAACACATCCAAAACCCAAGTAAAAGGAAAAATAAAAAAAGGATCTTTCAGGCAAATACTAACCAAAGGGAAACTGGTTTATTAGAAACGTGGAACATCAACCTGAAATCATTTGTATTAGTTTTGGACCATGAAAACACATACTAAGGGAATCGAATTATGTGGGTCACCATACGAAAAGAAGTAGCAATTTAATATTTTGATCTTAACACTAAAATGGAAAATTTATTTCACTTACTTTTTTGGGTATTTTTACGTCTTTACTTGGTATTAATTCATTAACTCCCACAGCCTCTGAAGAACTGTTCTTTGCACAATCATACATGCTTCCTACAATTGGATATATTAAAAAATACTGTTGTAATTAACGAGAAAAAGAAAAGACCTGATGCTTTCAGTGAAACTCTTACAAACTGTGAATTGTAGGTTAATACAAAAGAGCTCACTACTGGAGTAGTAGACAATGTCTACACTGAAAAGTTGAGTTACAGTTAAATGTCTTAAAAGATCTGGCTAATTTAAAAATATTTAGATGACTTGTATCAAAGTACAGCTATAAAGGAAATAGGAAATATTAGAGAAGACTTCCGTAAAAATATGAATGTTTTAAATTAACCTAGTTACAGTTCAATTCTTTGCACTCAAATGGACGTTACTATTTGATATTTCAAATTACACCACATATTATATAGTTGAGTAAAGATCTTTAAAGTATATTTAGGAAACATGCAATTTTAAAAATTCATATAATTAACTACTTAAAGTTTATATTTCTTTTTGATACTATAGGCTATATATTAAGCATAGAGATGATACTTTAACATTTAGCTTAAAACATTCTAAAGCTTACTATTCTTTCTGCAGAAGCTAAAACAAAATGATTAAGGAGACCATTCCTCCTCTGATTGTTTAGATCAATTAGCCAGCATTGTGTGGCGTTGTTCCATGTATGTATGTATGCATGCAGTGCTGAGTATGGTCTTAAGCATATTAGGTTCTAGACAGTTACTCTTAATCAGAACAGGTTAAAAAGCATAATGTGGTATGATGCTGTGAAAACATAATATAGGTGTCAAACAGCAAATGTAGATGATTTGGGTCTAGAAAATGTAGGTCTTCAGGGCCATCACAATCTTCTCTGTTTCCTCTATATTCTGTGGCACCTGTTCCCTGACACTAACAGCTTGGGTTGGGAAAACATTTCTTTTCAATGTCCATGGTAAGATAAGAGATTCAGTTCTAGGCTCTGGACAAATAAATGGATGGCAATTGGAGCTCTAGGCCAGGCAAGGTACCCTAACTTGGGCAAAGAGGGCCACAGTGTTCACTAGAGATATAAATTGGAATTTGGGGTAAACGCCTGACTTAATAATGATTAAGCAGGGGAAAATGTAGTAAAACTGCTGTACTGAATCCATAAACATGAGCACTCATGAATAGTGTGAAAAATTTGTACATAAAAAGGCTGTGGTGGTTAAAAAGAAAAGAGATAAATCCATGTCATGCTGTTCCATACCTTACCATGAGGTTCATGTGATAATAAAGTGTATAAAAAAGAATGTGTATGAGCTAATTATCTAATTATAGAATATATATGCATACATATGCATATCTGTATGTATCTAGCCTTTTATAAAAGTATGCTTTTATGATTTCACTAATATGAGACACTTAAAATATAAATAAAAAGTAAAACAATGGAGAGATGGTAGAAAACAAAAAGGCTGATTTGTTGGAAATGGGGAAAAGAATGCAAGGGTATGGAGGAGGGGTAAAGGGATAGAAATGATCGAGATATGCTATATACATGTACCAGTTCCCCAAAATGAATGTAATTATGATATTTTGTAAACATAAAAATTCAATACCTTCAAAACTTCGATTAAATTTAAAAAGAAAAAATATGCTTTCAAAGTCAAATGTGCTCATACCTTTTGGATTTTCATTGTATTCATAAAGAGCCCATTCTTCTGGTTTGGCTTTTTCTTCCTATAAATAATATAGAAAAAATATGATAAAAATATATTTGTTCTGTGCTAGAAAAGTCTTGGCTTTTAAGCAGGGTTCAAGAGCCTGCTTCTAGCTAATGACATAAATGCGTAATGATTATACACTTTGTTGGGCTAAAATGAGGGTCTTTAGATGCTGACTGACAACCAATGTCCTTTTAGCTTAAAATTCTATGTTTAAAAAAGCTGTATGATTCGAGAATTCTCTTCAAAGAAGATTTAGCAATACTAACTGGCATATGACTTGTCTCAACAGTTTACAATGTTAAAATTGGTTAAATGATTGCTATGTTAAAATACTTTAGGGACCACTCTAAAATGAATTTATAAACTCTCTAAACAGAATCATTTCACCCTTCTGAAAGAAAAAGTAACTCCCAGAACATTTATTCCTTGGTGAGAAGCAGCAGCCTTAAAAACAGAAGGGACCAAAAATGACAATGACTTTACAGAATAACATTTTGTAAGTTAAAAAGACACGGACACAAAATGATACATGTTTCACAAGTACACTTTCAAAAGAAAAGACAAATGTATTTCAATACCTGTCCATATTAGGGAAAAGGAAGTGGACTAAAATGGAATGACTTTAAATAAGAGCTTTGCAGAGAACAAGGATAAGAGCATTTTGTCAACTAAAAGGCATGACCAGTCTGTGCTCTGCATGAGAGGTCCTCAAAGTGAAAATGGATTAATACAATGTCATTCAATCTTGGACTTCACAATCCTGCATCTCTGGAATTGATCCACACTGCTATTAGCAAAGCAATTTCAAACCTACCATCTATGTCCTAGCAGGCAAAACTGCCAAATAGAAGAGACATATTTGGGCATTTCTAATTCCACTTTCAAGATGATCTTTGCCTCCTCAGTGATATCTCTGCCTATATATACTTTCATCTACACTGCACCTATGAAGGACGGATCACAACCTCGAATAATGTTGTGATCAACTTTCTTTGTCAATATACATAAATGTATTCCATGTCTTCCACCAGCACCTGTACTCTTAATTTTGTACCTTCAGCATTTCAAATACCAGGTGCCCAACTTTGTTTTATGTACTTCCCAACCACATACTATCCTGGACCATACCATTCAACTCCCATTTATGCAGGAAACAGAATGCTACCAAGCAGAGGGCAAAGTTTGCTAGAGAAATTAGCTTGATTCATAAAAGCCAAAGTCACACAAAATTATTCACAGGAAGTATTTTTGTTCCCAAAAGAAAGTGCAATCTGTCTTCTGCAGGGACCAGGGAACCTAATATACTTTTCTTAGGCAAGATCTCAGGACTAAAGCACCTATCATTATACCTCTTTGTCAACTATAGCTGAGTCATCATTGATACTTTCTGACCCTTCTTTTTCATCATCAGTCATAGTTTTCATCTCATCTTCCTGATTTTTGGCATCAATTTCCTCATCCATGTCTTCTGGTTCTGTGTCTTCAGTTTCTGAAAATTCTCGATCCTGTGATAAAATTGATTATCATAGAAGAGTTAAGATTTTCTTTTGTAAAAAAGAAGTTTGATACTGATACCATAAATAATTTGTACTTTTCTTAGGCAGGATCTCAGGTCTTAAGCACCTATCTTACCTGTTTGTCAAATTTAGCTGAGCCATCACTGATACTTTCTGACCCTTCTTTTCCATCATCAGTCACAGTTTTCATCTCATCGTTTTGATTTTTGGCATCAATTTCCTTATCCATGTCTTCTGGTTCTGTATCGTCAGATTCTGAAAATTCTTGATCCTGTGATAAAATTGATCATCAAAGAGTAAGGTTTTCTTTTCTAAAAGAGATTTGATATTGCTGTCATAAATTATGTAAAAAAACACATAGATTAAATCAGATACAGAAGTTGAAGAAATAAAATATTGTGTATAATACATGCTGAATATCAAGTTAAATATATTACCAAGGATTTTATGCATGTTGGTCTATGTCAATGAATAGATTTTCAAAAGTCTTTTATATCTATGGCAAGGTTAAAATGGAAAAAATTAAATATGTTTTCTAAGGTGTCTCTAAGGTCTGCTTTTAAACTTGAGAGAAGTAAAAAGCTTTCTATTTACCACACCATTATAACATAATTGTGTCTATTATTTTTATTTTTTAAAACATAGGAATTTAGAATCCTTCCAGAGGTAGAATTCACTGATATATTTATGAGAGTTAAGTATAACTATTTACATTCTAAGAAAAAGATAATATGATATAGACAGTTTAAATACTTGGTTCTTGGATATGAAAAGGAAAAGGAAAACAAAGCAGAGGCCAAACTTTTTATCTGGATACTATTTAGCCAATCCAAATTACAAAATACCCTGTCTATAGATTTGACAGACTGAGAGTAAATCATGTACTGATTATTACGTATGGTTCTAGTTGTTATTCTATATTGAGTTTTTTTTTCTTTTGCAGTTACATTAGGTCGGATTAACCATTTATCAATTATTTCTAAAAATTTTTTTTTCTGGCATGATTTTCCCTGTAGGTAACATATATTATATATTATGGAATGAAAAGCAAGATTACTAGATTGAAAATTTATGGCTAATAGATGCATTCATAGAAATACATAAATGAAAAGCAAGTAGTCCTAAGACAGAATTTCAGACTATGCACTTCTGTCTCACAGAGAGAGAGAGAGATCAGTGACACATGTTCCAAACATAGCTCTTGCCTGGAAAATTTAACTAATCTAGCACCTGGGTCAACTCCAAATGGGCATTAATGTTATCACAGGATAATATCATGCTATTATAAAAAAGAATTTGGAATTTTACTTTATTTTAGAAAACATACATTTCTTATAATGAAGTACAATTTCACTAAGTAACAGAAAATTTATCACAGAACTGTTAGAACTGTATCATTTTCTAAATTTGAGAAAGCTATTAGAAAATGACATTTTTCATCAAAACTTACATTGACTATAGCACTTTGTACTTATTAAGGACACTTAAAATTATTCTATACACATCTAAAAACACTTTAAATCATAGAAAGCACTTACCTTCAAATTGAAACAATTTAGGAGAGATTGGCAGAATACTGTCATTTTATAAAAAGAAAGGGTAAATTTAAGTACATTCTTGGCACTAGAATCATATAAATCATAGAGGTAGCCTGGAATGGTCAAGTACATGTCTTATGTTAGGACCATAGTAAAGAAGTTAATGGGCCTGCCCTCTCATAAAAGGGCACTTGTTTGAAAAAAGCACAGTGAGCTACGGTCTTCGGTCTGGCCCAGAGCAATAATTTTTATAGATCTTAATGGGAATATCAAGAAAGTCAGTATTTCTTGTGAGGTTTCAGTTTGCTTAAGAATCCGAATGAGATAACTGACGTGAAATGGGAAGAAAAGGGCTAAAGGTGTAGGGACAGTGGGAAGGGTAGGAAAAAGGTAATAAGGGAAAAAATATGAGAAAATGAAAAAATGGAAATAAAGTGCTTGTAAACGGGGAGGGGAGGAGGGGG